AAATATTGTTTGTACCATTACCTAGTGATTGTAAAACGCTTTGGGTAAGGGCCTTTTATTAAACAATGTAAAAAAACCTTTGGGGTGTGGGGTCTGGCCAGGAGTTTGGATGCAGGAGGGGGCTCAGGATCGGGGCAGGAGGCTGAGGTGTGGAACGCTTACCTGGGGCAGCTCCGTTTGGTGCGAGGGGTGCAGGTGGTAAGGTGTGTGTGTGGGGGGGTGCAGGAGTCAGGGCATGGGGGGGGCTGGGTATGTGTGGGAGGGTGAAGGAGTCAGGGAGGGCAGGGGGTTGGGTGTGTGTGGGGCAGGGGTTGTGGGGGGTTGCATGAGTCAGGGCTGCGGGTGTGTGAGGGGGGTGCAGGAGTCAGAGATTCCCCACTGATCTGCAAACCCCGGGTAGGACCTTTGGAGGCCACTTAAGGCAACCTTTGCCTCAGCTCCCCATCTTAGAAAATGTGGAGGATCCGACCCTGTTTCAGAAGAGGGGGGTGGAGATGAAATCAGTCAATGACTCTGAGGTGCACAGATGCTAGGGAGCAGAGAGCTAGAAAATCACCTGGACATTCAGGAATGTATATTAATAAGGGGTGTACTCAGCCAAATACAAGCAGGCCAGCACCTTCTTAGGAATGAAGGAATATATGGAGAAAAGAAATTATACCCCTTCTGTTTTGGTTTTTGTTTCAAAAGATCCCAAGAGGGTTAGGAACCCTACTCTAATGGACATTCGGTTGGATATGGGCGCCCTTAGACGCTTCTGCAATCCCGTGCTCTAAAGAGATACGCATTATTAATGAGAAAAGGAGTACTTGTGGCACCTTAGAGACTAACCAATTTATTTGAGCATAAGCATCCGATGAAGTGAGCTGTAGCTCACGAAAGCTCATGCTCAAATAAATTGGTTAGTCTCTAAGGTGCCACAAGTACTCCTTTTCTTTTTGCGAATACAGACTAACACGGCTGTTCCTCTGAAACCTGTCATTATTAATGAGGTATCTCCTGTAGACGGAAAGCAAGTTCACAGCCCTATTGTGTTAAACGCTGCACAGACACACAGTCAAAGACAGACAGTCCCTTGGTAAGGTGCCTCATCCTTCACCCTTTACGTATACTATTACCAGAAATATTTATTCGAATCATTGACTCTGACCTCCAGCATTATGCGGCCCATGATGATGATGATGGATGATGACGATGAAGACGATCATGCTACTGAGATGAAGCAGACCGGCTTGTAGGGTGGAGCTCTAAACAGGGACTAAACCTGCGTGCTCTTCCTGGATTTGCCACTGGCCTTCTGGGGGACAGTGAACAAGCCCCTTCTCCTCCCTATAGCGCAGTTTCTCCATCTGTGAAACCGGGTGTAGTAGAAAGAGAGCGCTTGAGACACAAGACCTGGCTGAGGGGCCCGGTGTAAGGTGTAAGGCCTTAAGTAACGTCAGGCCCAGTTAATATAAAGCAAAATTAGCAAGAGGCAAGCTATGAGCAAACCTCACACCCTGTTAGAAAGCAAATCTCTTCTTGCAGGCTCACTGTCCGATACACGAACTTGTCAAGGGCTGGGGCTGCAAAAACACAAGCACTCCTCTGCACTGCGTATTCACATAAACACATTCCAGAAGGGTAGTGGCAGAACATCCCAATGCAGGGCTATGGTGTAAACACAGGTCCCAAAGACAATACGAGGACACACTGACCCCTCTTAAATATCCGCTCACTATGACAGGGTGATGGATAGAAAAGTTTTGATTGAACCAACCTGTATAAGGTAAAGGCTGATAACTGATAATGTCAGAGGGCAATATATACCTTCTTTGTATCAGTGTACAAAAGAGGAGTCGCCGATGGGGTGTCTTTGTCTGGCTGAGAGGAGAACGGAAAGTTTCGCGGTGCACTGAGCTGGTCCATTGTCATGGGCACACATGTTCTAGTGTAACTGTAGATACTGATCCGGGGAGCTAATACCGGGTGCTTTGTCAGCAATAAACCAGGGTAAAAGCAGTGGAGAATCACATCTAGAGTCCTCCCCCACCCCCGGTGTTACCAATGGCACTGGTACCCAGTATCTCTGCACTGTTGAAAAACTGCTTCCCCTTTCTGTGCCAGTCCCCGCTTTGCTCTGTGTCACTGTGTCTCTGGCCCAGTAATACCTGGCGGTGTCTGCAGCTGTCAGCGAGCGGAGCTGCAGGGAGACCTGGTTCTTGGAAGTGTCCTGTGCGATGGTCGTTCGACTCTGCAGAGAGCTGGCATAGTTCGTGTACCATTGGCTCGGTCTGTAGCAGATGCTCCCCATAAACCCCAGCCCTTTCCCCACAGGCTGCCGGACCCAGTGCCAGGCGGCGCTGTCGCTAGAAACCGAGTCTCCGGAGATGGTACAAGTGAGTGTCAGGGACTCCCCGGGTTTCACCGCTCCCGGGTCCGTTTCCCGCAGCTGCACTTGGGAGAGGACACCTGGGAAGGAAACACAGAAATGATTCAGCAATCCAGGCTCCTAACCCCTGGGAGTGGGGGTGAAAATAAAACACCCCGCGGGAGCACCTGGGAGAGTGAGGCACCCAACTGCCACTGGATTCCATTGGGGACCGGGCACCTCATTCCCTTAGGCTCCTTGGAACATCTCTTCTGCAGTCACTGCAGCAAGGGACCTTCCTTACCCGCCATAGACACGTACCTGAAGGGGCCTCCAGCATGAACTGGAAAACCAGTAGCAGGTTCATCTTCAATGAAGGTGAAAACTGTCCCCGGCAGGCAGGAAGGAGCACTTCTGTGTCTGGGGAGAGATGGGGATTCTTCCAATCCGGGCTTTGAATTTAAACAGGAAACCCCCCACCCGGGGGCAGGGATTTGCATGCCAGTTTCACAGCGTGAATATAAGGGATGACAGGGTGTGATTTTTGTCTTCACATGGTGTCTGTCCATGGGACGCGTGTCTCCCTGAGAGAGTGAATTCAGCTAGAGCAAAATGTTAACCCCCCTAAGGTATTTGGATGCCCAAATTAAATTTAAATAAATATGATTTGGTCATTTAACACTCTTAGTGGTCTTTGAGCTTCTCAGCGAAATGTAAGTGCAGGACAGCACCTTCTTAGGAATGAAGGAATATTCAGAGAAGGGAAATTATACCTCTTTTCTTGTGTTTTTTGTTGGGATTCTTGTTAGCCAACACACTAGACTGCCTGAAACCTATTAATACAGCATTTAAATAATCATTAGAGCACAGGTTTCAGAGTAGCAGCCTTGTTAGTCTGTATCCACAAAAAGAACAGGAGGACTTGTGGCACCTTAGAGACTAACAAATTTACTGGAGCATAAGCTTTTGTGGGCTACAGCCCACTTCATCGGATGCATAGGATGGAACATATAGTAAGATATGTATATGTATACATACAGGTAAGTTGGAAGTTTCCATACAAACTGTGAGAGGCTAATTAGTTAAGATGAGCTATTATCAGCAGGAGAAAAAAAAACTTTTGTAGTGATAATCAAGATGGCCCATTTAGACAGTTGACAAGAAGGTGTGAGGATACTTAATATGGGGAAATAGATTCAATATGTGGAATGACCCAGCCACTCCCAGTCTCTAGTCAAACCCAAGTTAATGGGATCTAGTTTGCATATTAATTCAAGCTCAACAGTTTCTCGTTGGAGTCTGTTTTTGAAGCTTTTTTGTTGCAAAATTGCCACCTTTAAGTCTGTTACTGAGTGGCCAGAGAGGCTGAAGCATTCTCCTATCGGTTTTTGAATGTTATGATTCCTGATGTCAGATTTGTGTCCATTTATTTTTCTGTGTAGAGACTGTCTGGTTTGGCCAATGTACATGGCAGAGGGGCATTGCTGGCACATGATGGCATAGATCACATTGGTAGATGTGCAGGTGAACGAGCCCCTGATAGAGTGGCTGATGTGATTAGGTCCTATGATGGTATCCCCTGAATAAATATGTGGACAGAGCTGGCATCAGGCTTTGTTGCAAGGATAGGTTCCTGAGTTAGTGTTTTTGTTGTGTGGTGTGTGGTTGCTAGTGAGTGTCACAGAGTGTGGGGGAGTCCAGGCCCTGCACCCCTCTTCCTGGGATTCACTGAGATGCTCAGCCAGCCAGTAAAACGGAAGGTTTTTTGGACCACAGGAATACAGTCCACAACAGAGCTTGTGGGTACAACCAGGACCCCTCAGTCAAGTCCTTCTGGGGGAGCAGGGAGCTTAGACCCCAGCCCTGGGGTTCCCTGCGTTCCACCACCCAGCACTAACTGAAACTAACCCCCGCCCCCCAGCAGGCTCCCTCCAGCCTCCTCGGTTCACATACCTGGGCAGAGGTGTCACCTCCCCCTCCCCCTCCCCCTCCTGGCTCAGGTGACAGGCTCTCAGGTCTCCCATTGAAACTTTCCTGCCACATTCCCAGGTCAACACTCCCCCCTCCCTGCTGCGTCACAGTGAGTATTTGCTTCAGGTTGGGGGCTGTCTGTAAGCGAGGACTGGTCTGTCTCCCAAGATCTGTGAGAGTGAGGGATCATTTTTCAGGATAGGTTGTAAATCTTTGATGATGAGCTGGAGAGGTTTTAGTTGGGGTGAAGGTGACAGCCTTAGAGCACAGGGACTTAAACATGAGGCTCCCTTGATTCCAGAAGAGTGCACTGAACGCTGGGCTATAGAGTCCAAAGACTATTAAAGGACACCTCGACCTCAGATATATGGAGACGAGTCCCCCGGGAAACCTTCTAGCCCAGTGGCTGGGCCCTCCCCTGGGAGGTAGAAGATGGACCTTCTTGAAGTCCAGTCTCTGGCTCAGGCACAGTGGGGCTGAGGGTCAGGGTGCCTAATTCGAGGCTGTAAATTCCATTTGGAGCCAGGCACCTCTAGGCAGGCGTTATAATAACGACCCTTAGACCCTTATGTGACTCGAAGCCCCCGGGCTCCCTACTTTATTGACACAGCCAGTGCCCCCAGTGGGGCAGGTCTGGTGCTTAAATGTCGTCCTTCCTCAGATTGCAACAGCTTTGCAGACCTCCAGCGCCCCAACCAGCCAACTCCAGACCGTGGCTACAGGGCTCGGTTTTGTCCTAGGTCCCTGGCTGTGTGTCTTTGACACAGGGATACAGGCCGGTGTCCTCCACTCTCAGGCTGCTCATTTGCAAATGCACCAGGCTGTTGGCGTTGTCTCTGGAGAGGGCGAATCGCCCTTTCACGGAATCAGCATAGTAGGCGCTGCCCTGGGCAGCACCTCTGGCCAGCAACTCCCGCCCCCTCCCGGGGGCCAGACGGATCCAATCCATGAGATAACTGATGAAGGTGAAGCCGGAGGCTTTGCAGGAGAGGCGGAGAGAGTCTCCGGACTTTTTCACATCCCCTCCGGACTCCACCAACCCCTGGGACCGGGCACCTGGGAGTAAAGACACATGAAGGGGAACATTCGTATCTCGGGTAACAGCACAATAATCCCCCCCTTGCTTCCCCAGCACATGGAAAGGGAGAAAATACCTCCCAGAGCTGCTGCAATGAGAGCAAGATATAACCAAAGCCTCGTTGTCGCTGGTGCTGGAGGGGAAAGTTCTCAGGGGACTGGCTGGTCACTCCTCAGACCCGGGGGGCTGCGGATTGTCTCTCCGGGTGCAGCCTGGGCAGAGAGAGGGACAGATTTAAACAGGAACCTCTGACCGCTCTTTGCATACCCCCTCTTTATTAGGGACACTGTATTTCCTAGCGCTAACTCAGATTGGGAAGGTTGAGAGAGAAGGGCCGGGGGTGCAGGGTGCGGCAGGGGGCTCAGAGGAGGGAGTTCGGGTGCAGGAGGGAGTGCAGGGTGTGGCAGAGGGGTGGGGTGCAGGCAGGAGGCTCAGGGCGGGGAGTTGAGATGCGGGGTGCAGGAGGGGTTCGGGTTCCGGCTGGCACTGCTTACCTGGAACGGCTCCGGGGTGGCAGGGGCGCGCACCAGGGCCAGACAAGAGCAGCGCAGGGAATTATCTGCTCCCCCTCCCCCCCCGGACAGCAGGGAGTTGGGGTGCAGGAGGGGTGAGGGGTTTGGCCGGAGGCTCAGGGCAGGGGTTTGGGGTGCAAGAGGGGTGCAGGGTGTGGCGGGGGCTCAGGGCAGTAATTTTGCAAAGCTTCCTGTGGCAGCGGAAAGGTAAACGGGGTCCGGAGAAACAGGGTGGCCGCTGGAGGCATTTTTACAAGACGTCTCTTAGCGTGCGGCTTGTTCATACTCAGTCGGCTGTGTGTGTCTTCATCTCCGAGGGGCTCAGCGAGCCCTGCTTCTCGGGCCTCAGGCGGCCGCTTCGAGCCGCTTCCCCTTTTTGTACCAGCCCCGATCTGCCCCGTGTCACCGTGTCTCTCCGGGCGCAGTAATACGTGGCGGTGTCCGCGGCTGTCAGCGAGCGGAGCTGCAGGGAGACCTGGTTCTTGGAGGTGTCCCCAGAGATGGTGACTCGGCCCCGGAGAGACGGGGCGTAGCCTGTCTCCCCGCTGTTATATGGGTACACATATCCCATCCACTCCAGCCCCTTCCCGGGAGCCTGCCGGATCCAGTTCCAGCTGTAATACCGAGTAGAGATGGAGAACCCGGAGACAGCGCAGTTCAGGGTGAGGGTCTCTCCGGGCTTCACCGTTCCCGGGCCCCACTGGACCAGCTGCACCTGAGAGAGGACACCTGGGAAAAGGAAACAAAGTGCGGAAAGTATTAGCACCGAACAAATCTATGGTTCTGCCCCTAATTCCCCCACTGCCCCATAGACACTTACATGTGGGGGTGGAGAACAGGGAAAGGAAAAGCAACAGAGACTTCATTCTAGTTTTCACGCAATGAGGGAAACTCCCCAGCGGGCAGGACCGGGCAGTTCTGTGTCTGGGGAGAGACTGAAGCTCATAGAGTCAGTGGTTTGTATTTAAACAGCAACCCCGTGGGGAGGGATTTGCATGCGAGTTGCACCCAGTGGATATAAGGCGACAGGGAGCCGTCTAGGTGAGGAGTATTGTCTGGTGGAATCAAGGGAAACACGTCTTCATCCCGTCTTGGCTGGGATGGAGAGGGCGCTAAACTTTCCATCTTTCCCTGTCTGTGCCCTTACATTATTTTATTTCTGATTCACATAATTTCTGTGGCACTTCAGATTATGCCGATCCACATTTTCACTTTCTTTCTGCATATCAAGATAAAGAATCACTTTACTTCAGCTATCCAAAACCATCATTTTATTTTTTCATTATACCCTTCCCCAAAAGCATAATCCTAACCCTAACCCTAACTCTGTATTTATTTTTAACCCTAGCTCTAATCCAGCCTCTATCCTCTAGAGTTGTGGGTTTCTGTTTTTTTGGCAACCTGTCCCACCCACTCCAACCCTGCTGGATCCATGACCAATGGCAACACCCACTAAGGACTGTAGACCTGGAGGAATCAGACACATCACAGATCAGTGTGAGGTTTTCCCTGTGAGAACATAAGAACATCCACACTGGGTGAGACCAAAGGTCCATCTAGCCCAATATCCTGTCTGGGGACAGTGGCCAATGCCAGATGCTTCAAAGGGAATGAACAGAGCAGGCAACCACTGAGTGATCCATCCCCCTTTGTCCAGTCCCAGCTTCTGGCAGTCAGAGGTTTAAGGCCACCCAGAGCACGGGGTCGCATCCCTTCCCATCGTCACTTGTAGCCATTTATAGACCTCTCCTCCATGAACTTATCTGATTATTTTTTGAACTTCGTTAGAGTTTTGGCCTTCACAGCATCCCCTGGCAACGAATTCCACAGGCTGACTGTGCAAGTTGTGTGAACAAGTGCTTCATAAGAACACAAGAACGGCCATACTGTGTCATACCAAAGGTCCATCTGATTCTAGTCCAAGCGGAATGAAAAATCCAGGCTAAAATCCTCATAGAGAGTCAGGTGAGCCTGAAACCAGTTCTGCCAGTTCAGAGGACTCGGAGTAGAGATTGTGGAGCCGGTTTAAGGTTATTTCACCAAGCGATTCCTCACATACACGCCTGCCCCGCTGCCCCAAATTGAGCCATCTCTAACTCTGCACTTAAACATCTCGGAGCCCCTTCGGAGTCACACAAACCCTCTTACCGATGTGTTGTTATGGAAAAGAGGAGGCCAAAACTCTCCAGAAACTCATTTCCTTGCCCTTGGAAATATAAGGGTGAGTTTTCAAAAGGTGCCTAGGGGATCTGTGCTGCAAGTTCCCCCCTAATCCCTTAATCTACCGATTTACAAATATAGTCACAGAGGTCCCCCATCTCTTACATTGCCTATTGCCTTTCCAGCTGGGCATGTGCAGTGTTTTCCAGCCAGAGGAGCACTCTGTGCCTTTCCCTGTATCTCTCTTCGGTTTTATACGTATGCTTTTCCCAGCAATGAAAACACCATTCATCCCACTGCCCAGGGACAGATCCCGTGAGTCTCTCCCATCCTCTTATTCCTCTCCTTGAAACGGCTCAGCTGCAATATTGCAGGAATTTCTTGGAACCACAGACACCACCAACCTCCCAGCCATCGCGGATTGAGAGTTAGGCGTTGACAATTCTATCTAGCAAAGAAAGAACCCGTAGAGATGAGTGTGATACACGTCCCTGCTCTGAGTGACACTGATAGAGATAAATTGGTTAGTCTCTAAGGTGCCACAAGTACTCCTTTTCTTTTTACTGATAGAGAGGGCGTGGCTGGGGATAGATAGATAGAGACAGACAGACAGACAGACAGACGGCACTCCAGAGAGGTGTCGTTGGTCCCTGGTGAACAAGGGAGAATACTAATGGAAGTTGTGAGGCATTAAATGCCCTGCATGTCTGCATGGAAACCTCTTGGCCTTTTTCTACCAGTCCCCGTTTGCTCTGTGTCATGTGTCTCCGGGCTCAGTAACACGAGGCGGTGTCTGCGGCTGTCAGCGGGCGGAGCTGCAGGGAGACCTGGTTCTTGGAGGACTCCGCAGAGATGGTGACTCGGCCCGGGAGAGACGGGGCAGAGCCTGCCCCCCTGCTGCTATAGGCTAACATAGAGGTTTCATGTACATAACCCACCCACTCCAGCCCTGCCCCGGGGGGCTGCCGGAGCCAGTGTCAGTGATGGAGAACCCGAGACAGCGCAGATCAGCGTGAGGGTCTCTCCGGCCTTCACCGCCCCCGGGCCGGACAGGACCAGCTGCACCTGGGAGAGAACACCGGGGGCAAGGAAACACACCAAGGAAAGATTTAGCCAGAGAGTTTGTCTGTGTGTCCCTGACTCCCCCAAGTGTCCCAGAGGCACTCACAGGTGGGGGCGGAGAACAGGGAAAGGAAAAGGAACAGAGATTTCATTCTCCTTTTCATGCAATGAGGGAAACTCCCCAGCGGGCAGGACAGGGCAGTTCCGTGTCTGGGGAGAGACTGAGGCTCCTCGAACCAGGGGTTTGTATTTTACCAGGAACCCCCCCTGGGCAGGGATTTGCATGCGGATTTCAGTCATGGGGTTGGAGATGAAAGGGGCAGATCTGGTGGGATGGAGATGCCTCTCTGGCCCTGCATGCATTTTACACAGAGAGAGACAGAATCGAGCTCTCTGCACGTTCCCCCGGGGAGTTTCGGTGAGACAGAGCCGCGCTCCAAGGGCCTCACCAGAGACCATCGCTGCCTTCACTGCCAGGGGGTTCGGAGCTGGCCCTAAATGCTTCTCTTATAGAGTGAAAACTTGGTTGGGAATCACAGCGCTCCGGAGTATGAAGCAGGGCGGGAGCCCATCTCCCCTCTCCCCCGGATCACTGGGTATTTCCCCTCCCAGCACGGAAGGAGACGGGGAATTGCCGGGGCTGGGCTGACCCGGAGTCTGGCTGTCTGTGTCCGCGGCCAGGGACAGAAGCTGCAGCGGGTGGCGCCAGGCTGCCCCCTAGTGGGATATTGTGGAATATCCCGCTGAGAGGGGAAGTTTCTTCCTAACCCTCCCCCTGAGTTACCGGTGGGTTCGCGCTCTAAAGAAGCCTTTGAACCGATTGACTCATGGAAAGTGTCATAAAATGTCCCGAGTTCACTCCAACGTCATCTACCTGGAGAGAATTTCTATGTGTGTGTCCCTGTGGGTACCAGGGAACATCCTGCGTGGCTGGGGAAGGGGTTGAGTGACAGGGAAACACGGGAAAGGAGGTTTCTAAGTTCGTATGGGCCAGAAGGTTTGTAAAAGTATTGAAGCTTCTACCTCCCTTTTATTTCAGTGGGAATTAGGCAATTAAATAACTTTAAAAATCCAGTCCTAAGAACATTGGAGTTCTACTTATTTTGTTTCCATGTTTTCAACTTTCCTCATATCAAGATAAAGAATCACTTTACATCTGCTATCCAAAACCATCCTTTTATTTTTCATTATATCCTTCCGCTAATCATAACCTAACCCTATCTTTATCTGTAACCCAACCCCTAACTCAGTCCTCTATCTCGAGCTCTCGCCCCTGTTATAATTGGAATTAGAATCCCGAGCCCTCGCCCGAATCCATAAACCTATATTTACCCCCAACCCCAGTCCTAATCCTAAATAATTCCTTTAACCTAACCTTAACTGTACCTTTAATCCCTTTCACTTAACACACAAGATATATGATTTTCCCCCTCTCTGTCTCTGCCTCCATCTGGGTCTGATCTAAATTGGCATGTAAAGGGCAGCCAGGAAAAAAAAAGAGACATCCCAAGAGTGGTCTGTGATGGGTTCGGTCACAGAGACCCCCCTTGGGATTGTCACCTGAGGTGCTGAATTTACCCCTGAGCCCCTTCTCACTGCCATTTTGGGACTTCCAGGTCCCTGCCTTGTTGAGCCAGACACACTAGCCTGCAACAACACAGACCCAGGGTCTGAACCAGGCCCCCAAAGCTGCAGACTAACTGAAAACAGCTCAGCAAGAACTTCTGTCTCCAGCACCCAGACACCCAGCTCCCAGTGGGATCCAAACCCCAAATAAATCCGTTTTACTCTATATAAATCTTATACAGGGTAAACTCATAATTTGCCAGCCCTCTATAACACTGATAGAGAGATATGTGCAGATCTTTGCTCCCCCAGGTATTAATCACTTACTCCAGGTTAATGTTTTTCAGGTCTAGGGGAGGGGTTGTGGATG